CTGTAGAAGTTCCCTGGTAGAATTTTTGGGTCACTTATGTATACTATCATCATATCATCTGCAAGTAGCGAAAGTTTGACTTCTTCCTTTCCAATTTGTATCCCCCCATCTACTTTTGTTGTCTTATTGCTCTAGCTAGAACTTTAAGTACTATATTGAATAAATATGGGGAGAGAGGACAGCCTTGTCTTGTTTCTGATTTTAGTATAATTGCTTTGAATTTCTCTCTATTTAATTTGATGTTGGCTGCCAGCTTGCTGTAAATTGCCTTTATTATGTTTAGGTATGTCCCTTGTCTCCCTGATCTCTCTAGGACCTTTATCATGAAGGGGTGTTGGATTTTGTCAAAGGCCTTTTCAGCATCTAATGAGATGATCATGTAGGGTTTTTTCAGTTTGTTTATATGGTGTATTACATTGACAGATTTTCGTATGTTGAGCTATCCATGCATCTCTGGGATGAAGCCTACTTGAGCATGGTGGATGATTTTTTTTGATGTGTTCTTGAATTTGGTTTGCCAGTATTTTATTGAGTATTTTTGCATCAATGTTCATGAGGGAGATTGGTCTGTAATTCTCTTTCTTTGTTGCATCTTTGTGTGGTTTGGGTATCAGGGTAACTAGCCTCATAAAAAGAGTTTGGTAATGTTCCTTCCGTTTCTATTGTGTGGAACAATTTGAGGAGTATTGGAATTAGCTTTTCTTTGAAATTCTGGTAGAATTTTGCACTGAAACCACCTGGCCCTAGGCTTTTTTTTTTAAGTTGGGAGACTTAATGAGTGCTTCTATTTCCTTAGGAGTTATAGGTCTATTCAGATTGTTTATCTGGTCTTGATTTAATTTGATATGTGGTACCTGTCCAGAAAATTGTCCATTTCTTTTACATTTTCCAACTTTGTGGAGTATAGCTTTTTTTTTTTTTTTTTTTTTTTTTTTTTTTTTTTTTTTTTTTTTTTGGTTTTTCGAGACAGGGTTTCTCTGTGTAGCTTTGCGCCTTTCCTGGAACTCACTTGGTAGTCCAGGCTGGCCTCGAACTCACAGAGATCCGCCTGGCTCTGCCTCCCGAGTGCTGGGATTAAAGGCGTGCGCCACCACCGCCCGGCTGAGTATAGCTTTTTTAAGTATGACCTAATGATTCTCTGGATTTCCTCCGTGTCTGTTATGTCCCTCTTTTAGTTTCTGATTTTGTTAATTTGGATATTCTCTCTCTGCCTTTTAGTTAGTTTGGATACGGGTTTGTCTATCTTGTTGATTTTCTCAAAGAACCAACTCTTTGTTTAATTGATTTTTTTTGTATTCTCTTTGTTTCTATTTTATTGATTTCAGCCCTGAGTTTGATTATTTCCTGGTGTCTATTCCTCCTGGGTGAGTTTGCTTGTTTTTGTTCTAGAGCTTTCAGATGTGCTGTTAAGTCACTAGTGTGGGATTTCTCCAACTTCTTTATGTGGGCACTTAGTGTTATGAACTTTCTCTTAGCACTGCTTTCAAAATGTCCCGTAAGTTTGGGTATGTTATGCATTCATTTTCATTGAATTCTAGGAAGTCTTTAATTTCTTTATTTCTTCTTTGACCCAGTGGTGATTCAGTTGAGCATTATTCAGTTTCCATGAGTTTGTAGGCTTTCTGTAATTTGTGTTGTTGATTTCTAACTCTAAGCCATGGTGATCTGATAAGATACAGGGAGTTATTCCAGTTTTTTTGTGTCTATTAAGATTTGCTTTGTGACCAAGTATGTTGTTAGTTTTAGAAAAGGTTCCATGAGGTGCTGAGAAGAAGGTATATTCTTTTGTGTTTGGGTGAAATGTTCTATAGATGTCTGTTAAGTTCATTTGAGTCATAACATCTGTCCCTTATTTCTCGGTTAAGTTTCTGTTTGACAGACCTGTCCATTGGTGAGAGTGTAGTTTTGAAGTCCACCACTACTAGTGTATGGGATTTGATGTGTGATTTAAGCTTTAGTAATGTTTCTTTTACAAACGAGGGTTGTAAGCAGAGTTTTCCTGTCCTACAGCTGTACTCAATCACCAAGAGGCTTAATATTAATTACAAGTGCTCAACCAATAGCTCAGGCTTGTTACTAGCTAACTCTTACATTTAAATTAACCTATATTATCTATGCTTTGCCACGTGGCTTGGTACCTTTTCTCAGTACAACATGCCCATCTTGCTTCTCTCTCATCTGCTTGCAACTCCAGTCTCTGCCTGTCTTCCAATATTCTCCTAGTCTGGTTCTCATGCCTAACTTCTTCCTGTTCAGCTATTGGCCAGTCAGCTTGTTTATTAAACCAATCACAGTGACAAATCTTCACAGTGTACAAACATACAAATCTCCACAGCAGTGGGTGCTGTTGTACTTGGGGCATAAATGGTCAGAATTGAGACTTCATCTTGATGGATTTTTCCTGTGATGAATATGAAATGTCCTTCTCCATCTCTTTTGATTAGCTTTAGTTTGAAGTCTAGTTACACTAGCTTGCTTCTTAGTTTCATTTTACTGGAAAATCTTTTCCCAACCCTTTACTCTGAGGTGTAGCATGAATCTTAAAAGGTCTTATTAATAAAAATAAACCTGGAACCAGGTATTGGGGTGAACGCTGAAAGGTCAGAGAGACAGAACAGGCCACAGCTAACTTCACCTTGACAAGTTCTCAGCCGATCCTGTTTCCTCAAACTGGAAGCCTCTGAGTCCTCATCCAGAATGGGTTTCAGCTGAACTGCTGCTCAAAAGCCTAAAAGCTTAACCAGGCTCTAGTTCCTGGTCCTCACACCTTATATACCTTTCTGCTTCCTGCCATCACTTCCTGGGATTAAAGGCATGTGTCACCATGCCTAGCTGTTTCCAGCGTGGCTTTGAACTCACAGAGATCCGGATGGACCTCTCTTTGCCTCCAGAACACTAGGATTAAAGTTGTGTGTGCCACCATTTTCTGGCCTCTTATGTTTATCTAGTGGCTGTTCTGTTCTCTGACCCCAGATAAGTTTATTAAGGTGCACAATGTATTGGAGAACACAATATCACCATACTGAGGTAAAGCCTGTCTTTGAAGTTGATGTATATTTCTTGTATGCAGCAGAAGGATGGATCCTGTTTTCATATCCATTATGTTAGCCTGTATCTTTTTATAGGCGAATTGAGTCCATTGATATGAAGAGCTATTAATGACCAGTGATTGTCAATTTCTGTTATTTTTTGGTTTTGGTGGTGGTGGTGGTAGTGTATGTATATGTTTCCTTTCTTTGGGTTTTGCTGGTGTGAGATTATCTATTGCCTGTGTTTTTGTGGGTGTAGGTAACTTCTTGGGTTGGAGTTTTCCTTCCAGTACTTTCTGTATGGCTAGATTTGTTAATAGGTATTGTTTAAATCTGGTTTTATTATAAAATACTTTGTTTTCTCCATCTATCATTATTGAAAGTTTTGCTGGGTATGGTAGTCTAAGCTGGCATCTGTGGTCTCAGTGTCTGCAAAATGTCTGTCCAGGACCTTCTGGCTTTTAGAGTCTCTATTGAGAAGTTGGGTGTAATTCTCATAGGTCTGTCTTTATGTGTTACTTGGGCTTTTTCCTTTGTAGCTCTTAATATTCTTTCTGTATTCTGTATGTTTGATGTTGGGAAAGTTTTCTTAAATGTTTTCTGTGCCTTTGAGCTGGGATTCTTCTCCTTCTTCTATCCCTATTATTCTTATATTTGATCTTTTCATGTTGTCCCAGATTTCCTTGATGTTTTGTGTTAGGAATTTATTAGGTTTAACATTTTCTTTCACTAATGAATCCATTTCCTTTATGGTATCTTCAATGCCTAAGATCCTCTCTTGTATTCATTTCTTGTATTCTGGAGATGCTTGTATCTGCAGTTCCTGTTCTCTTCCCCAAATTTTCCATTTGCAGAATTCCCTCAGTTTGTGTTCTCTTTATTGCTTCAGTTTCAATTTTCAAGTCTCAAACTGTTTCCTTTGCCTGTTTGATTGTTTTTCCTTAAATTTCTTGGCTTTCTTTAAGGGATTGGTTGATTTCTTCCATTTTTTTTTTTTTTTGCCTTTTCCTTGATTTCTTAAGGGAATTTTTCATTTCCTCTTTAAGGGCCTCTGTCATCTTCATAAAGTTATTTTTAAGATTATATTCTTGTGTTTCAGCTGCGTTTGAATGTTCAGGTCTTGCTGCTGTAGGATCACTGGGATCTGGTGGTGCCATGTTTCCCTTTCTGTTGTTGAATGTATTCTTACACTGGCGTTTATGCATCTGTTCTTCCAACTGGTGTGGGTTGTGCCTATGCCCATGTAGTCTGCTGTGGGGTATCAAGGGAGGGCTGGCCATGAGGAGGATTACCAGATTCATGGGTTTGAGCAACAGAGTGGGTCTTGGGAACAGATTCCAGTGGGTGGCAGTGGTGCTTTCATTTCTCCATCTGCATAACTCCTATTCAGTTTATTTTTATTTATTTATTTATTTATTTATTTATTTATTTATTTATTTATTTATTTATTTATTTATTTTTGGTTTTTCGAGACAGGGTTTCTCTGTGTAGCTTTGTGCCTTTCATGGAACTCGCTTTGGAGACCAGGCTGGCCTCGAACTCACAGAGATCCGCCTGGCTCTGCCTCCCGAGTGCTGGGATTAAAGGCGTGCGCCACCACCGCCCAGCATTCCTATTCAGTTTAATTTGCCCTCATATATGTGCTCAAATATTTTTCTCATATTTCTTGATCCTCCAAACCCCTTTTCACGTTAGACTGAATTGTGTATCCTACAACGCATTCTATGTATTTCTTAGGTATTTTTCTCACTAGATTTTCATCTCTGATGTTATAATCTTTTTCCTGTTAACTTTGCATTCCTTGAGGGCATAGCTTATGTCTTAGGCATCTCTATGTTTTGAGCATCTATCACAATGATAAGCACCCAGTAACTTGTTAAATAAATTGAAAGAATTAATCCCATTAATAAGAAAAAGGAAGTACCTTTTACCAACACCACTTTATTTCCTGAAATGTTATTTTTTTCACAGACTAATTTTCTGCCACCTCCAGCATCTTGTGTCAGGGATCTCCTCTCAGTATTTGAAACCAACCGGTATGTGAGAGTTGGAATTTGTGACAAGTACCCTGGAAGGTTCCAGAATGAAGCTTCTATGTGAATGATGAAAACAGCAAAGCTGTATATTGCAGACATTGAGGAAAATGACAGTAGGATACTTTGTTGTTTTTATTCATATCATTCTTGCCAATTTCTGTTTCTGTGAGGGGGATGTGAATAAGGCAATGGAGTAATTCTTTTGTTCTCTAAATTTTGTACAGGTGCCTTAGCTCTTCTGATTCTGGTAGGGTGCTAGCTTCCATTCTTAGCATGAATCAGTGGCTCACTGAGCTTGTGTTTTGTCAAACCAAATCAGAAGCCACAGCTTTGCAATCTCTCTGTGAAAGTTTAAAAGATCCAGATTGCAAGTTAAAGAATGCTCAATTAAGTTGTAATTGTTACTATTTTGCAATGATTTTTTTAAATATAAAATCTAATATAGGTGTTATCTTGCATGTATTTTGATCACAGAGGAGTCACCGAAAGGAACAATAACAGTGACAATCTCTCAAAATGTCCCCATGTAACATGGTTAGCAAGGGAGTTTATATTTCAGCTGTAAATATATGTCATAACTCACATTTATTGAATAATTACTTTGTACTAATTGTGTGAAATGCTTTGTATGCATGATTTCCTTTAATCTCTGCAATAACTCTGAGAGGTCCAGATTATTATTCCAACTTCAGCAGAGGAGGAAATGGAAGACTCACATCATTAGGCTAAATAGATGAAAAAAACAAGACATAATTCAAAATCCAGATATATCTGACTTTAAAGTTCATGGTATTTGTGCTGGCTAGTTTTATGTCAACTTGACCCAACCTAGAGTTACCTGAAAGGAGAGGACCTCAGTTGAGAAAATGCCTCCCTAAGTTAACTCATTGTATACAATGCTTATAATAATCCTATTAGGTTTTATTATCTCTATTGTATGGCTAAAGAAAGCAAGGATCCAAGGAAATTTGACCTTTCTCATTTCACATAGCTAAGTGATATATTAAGGATGGGATTCCAAAATTTACCCCCAAATCTGATATGCTTTCCATTTCATGCCACATTTTGGAGAAATTATACTCATATTTGTTGAATGTTATTTTAAGATGTGTTACATTCATTTATGCTGTGGAATGTTTAATAATACAAAGATGTGTTACATTCTTTTATGTTGCATTTGTTTAACTCTGTGAAGCTGTGTTACTTTCCTGTCTAAAGCACCTGATGGTCTAATAAAGAGCTGAAAGGCCAATAGCGAGACAGGAAAGAGGATAGGTGGGGCTGGCAGACAAAGAATAAATAGAAGAAGAGAGAGAAGAAAGGGGAAGGAGAAAAGGAGAAGGAGAGAGGACTGTGGTGATATTTTATTTGTGCTCTAACAAATAAAGCTTGCCTGAGGATCAGAGAACAGAGCCAGCCACTATATTAAGCATAGAGGTCAGGCAGTGGTAGCACATGCCTTTAATCTTAGCATTTGGGAGGCAGAGATTCATCAGGATCTCTATGAGTTCAAGGCCACACTGGGAATAGAGCCAGGCATGGTGGCACATGCCTTTAATCCCAGCTCTAGTTAACCATAGAAGTTTGGAGGTCTGTACAGACATACAGGAAGTAACAGAGATGGGCAGAAAGAGGAAGTAATGTAGCTGAGCAGAGAGAGGAAATAAGATGGCAGGACACAAGGAAAAGCGATGTAAAAATTCTTGGCCTATTGGCTGAAGATGGATGCCCCAGTGTTGCAGAGGAATTTTGGATGACTGTCTAGGTAAGCAGCTGTCTCTGTCATTTCTAGAATTATGGAAATTGCTTGCAATGCACTTCCTGTTTACTTAGGTAATATTATATCCTGCTGAGGTCTTTGATGTAGTTGAAGACTAAATAGTTACAATTTTCCTTGGTTATGATAAAAGTAAATTAGATATGAAACCTTAGACTCACAAATATAGGATAGATAGAATATTTTCTTTAATGTTACCAAATATAGACTAGATATTATAACTGTAATTCCTGCTTGATAACTGTTCTATTATATGTAATTTTACTATGTTAGAGTTAAAACCTTTTTTTTTTTGATTAGACAGAAAAGGGGAAGTGCTGTGGGATGTCTTTCTGTATGCTGTGAATATGTGTTGCTCTGATTGGTTGATAAATAAAGGTGCATATGGCAGGGCAGCTTAGAGGCAGGTGGGAAATCTAAGCAGAAATACAGAGAAAAGAAAGGAGAGGATGGAGAGACTCTAGCCACCGCCAAAGGAGCAGCAAGATGCCAGCAGACCAGTAATGCCACAGCCACATGGCAACTTATAGATTTATAGAAATGGGTTAAGTTATAAGAGCTAGCTAGCAAGAAGTCTGCCATAGGCCATATAATTGGTAATTAATATAAGCCTCTGATTATTTTATAAGCAGCCATGGGACGGCAGAGCTGGGCAGGACCAGAGAAAACTTTCAAATACAGAGGATGCCAGGGGCCAGCCACACAGCCAGCAACAGAGTAAGAAGGCAAGAAAGAAATATAACATGGAAAAAGGTAAGAGCCCAGAGGCAAAAGATAGACAGAATAATTTAAGAAATCAGCCAAGTTAAGGCCAGTAATTCATAAGAAAGAATAAATCTCAGTGAATTTATTGGGAGCTTGGTGGTGGGCCCCCAAAGAGTAAAAAAAAAAAAACCACAACTACATTTTGGTATTCCAACATGAGGCTCAAATACCTTCCTAGAGCCTAGAAAGCTGAACAAAACAAAACTAGACATGGAACCTTTAAGAGTTTCTGCCTGACAGCAAGCCCCTGAGCAGAGGGTACACTAAAAAGCTAAGTAAAACAAAACAAAACAACAACAAAACACCTGCAGCAGTGCAAGCATCAGCTTCCACAGCTAGGAAGGTTGAATGAAGTTCCCAAAATGAACCTCCAAACTGGCCTGGAACTTAACGCTTGGCTTTCATGACCAGAGAAGCGGGAGGAACCAGCAGCCAAAGCCACATGTGGAGGTCCACACTGCTTAGCAGTTTAAAGGCTCATGAGGTTGAAAAAAGCTAAATGAACAAGTTCAGGTGGAAAAAACCTATAAACAGGTTCCAATGTGTTTTACAATGTGCATAGGCTTAAGAAAGAAAGAAAAAGGATATAGACAGTCATAGAAAGAAAGAGTTTAAAAATAATAAAGTTGTGGGGCCTGGAGAGATGGCTTAGAGGTTAAGAGCAGAGGCTGCTCTTCCAAAGGATCCAGGTTAATTCCCAGCAACCACATAGTGGCTCAAAACCATCTGTAATGAGATCCAGCACCCTCTTCTGGCCTGCAGGCACAGATGCAGGCAGAGCACTGTATTCATAATAAATAAATAAATCTTTTTTTTAAAAAAGAGTAATCTAAAAAAATAATAAAGTTATTAAAGTGTTAAAAATAATATAAAAGAAAAAAGCCACATAAGATGGGAAATGCATAGGGAATGTGAATCCTGTATGTTACTGTGTTGATTTTGAATTTTTGATTGCTGATAAGCAAGCAGCAGCTGCTGAGAGACATGGGATTGAATGAGGGACAACTGAAACAAACCAGCCTAGATATTATAAGAGTGCCCTAACTTTAAAATGGAAATAAAAAAATGTATTGCTTTGGAGAAGTGATTTTGCTTTTGTTTCCCCAGGAAATGAGAGCTTGTGGATTCCTTCCAGGTTAATATGGATCAGGTTTGATCAAGGGAGATCTCCTGAATCTTGACAGGTAATACACATCAACGAAGGTTATAGCTGGTTTTCCCAGGACTTGGCCATTATCTCAATTTTCTTAGGGATCCCTAAAGATGCTTTTGCCCACAGACAACATGAAGCAGTCTAGAGAAGATGATGCCCAAAATTCCCAAGAGGTGGAGTGGGTGGTCTTTGGTTACTTGGTAGGTTATGGATGTTTGTTATCATTTAGGGAAATATAGGAATATAGGGAAAAAAGACAACTATTAATTTCATACTTTTAATTGGAATACATTTATATTTGTTACACTGTATATATGTTTCTACTCTTGTTTGGGGTTTTGTACTTACGCAGCTCATTTAAAAGTACAATGTATAAATAAGAAATGACATTAGTAGTTAATCTATAATATTCAAACTTGTAGTCATATTAGATATGTTTTAAGGTTAATAAGGTATATTTTAGATAGATAACTAACACTTCAAAGATCTATAGAATATGGCATTTAAAATGTTTTATTTTGTTGTCTTGGTTTTGGGGGATCTTGTTGGTGTATTAGGTCTTTGTTTGGTGTTTTGAGAAAGAACTTAAAAGTTGTGTAGTTAGGGATAGGGATGAGGATCTGGGAGGACTTGGGAGACGAGAAGAATATGATCAAAATAATGTAAATTGGAAGTTCTATTAAATAATAAAAATAAAACAATAAAAAAGAATAGCTACATATGCTGGATATGGGGCTAGATGTGAATGATGTTATCACAAGTTCTTCAAATTACAAGGCTGCCCCTTAGGGACACGTATATAATAAACATCAGCTGAACCAGGAAACAGGCCCCTGTATGTTGGAGATCTTAGGAGGGGGTCTCTGGGAAGGTGAGGTAGGAACTGGAACTCGAAAGGAAGGGGGCGTTGTTGTCCTGGTGATTGAATCTTGAAGGAAGCAGAGAGAGACAGAGGGAGACAGTGATAGACAGAGACAGACAAAGAGAAGAAACAGAGACAGAGACAGACAGAAACAGACAGAGACAGTGAGACAGACACACAGAGACAGAGACAGAGAAACATGCAGAGGGAGGGGGCAGGGGGCAGAGAGAGGGCAGGGGGAAGAGAGAGGATGGGGAAGAGAGGGGAGGGCCCCAGAGAGGGAGAGAGGCAGAGAGATAGGGGCCAAGAGAGAGGGGCAGATGCAGAGGAGGGCAGAGGCAGAGATAGAGGGGCAGATGCAAAGAGAGAGGCAGAGAGAAAAAAGAAGACAGTAAGGTACAGAGAGAGGGGCAGAGAGCAAGGCAGAGAGACAGAGGCAGAGAGAGAGAGGGAGAGAGGGGCCCAGAGAGATGCCTAGAGAGTGAGAGACAGGGGGAAGCTGAGAGAGAGCAGGGCTGAGAGACAGAGGAGAAGCCCAAGAGAGAGGGGGTGCAAAAGAAATGGGCCAAAAGAGAGAAAGAGCTGAGAGGGGGCCTAGAGAGAGGGGGGGCTGAGAGTGGCAGGGCTCATGGGGAGGGACCCAGAGAGAGAACAGGGCTGAGAAAGAGTGGAGAGAAAGGGAGGCTTGAGGCACACACACACACACACACACACACACACACACACACACACACACCCCGTCGGGGTGTTGAGAGAGAGGGGTGAGGCTGAGGGGGAGGGAATGAGCAGAGCTGAGAGGGGAGAGAGAAAGGGGAGACAGAGAGAGAGACAGAGAGAGACAGAGACAGGGAGAGAGAGACAGAGACAGGGAGAGAGAGACATAGAAAGGGAGAGAGAGACAGAGAGAGAGACAGAGAAAGAAGGCCTGAGAGAGAGGGGCTGAGAGGGGGAGGGACGAAGAGAGAGGGCTGAGAGAGAAAGGGGACTGAGAGTGAGAGACAGAAAGCTGCTCAGAGAGACAGAGAGACAGAGGGGCTGAAAGAGAGAGAGTTCCTGAGAGGGGGCTAAGAGAGATAGGGGTGCAGAGGCAGAGAAGAGAGAGAGGTGGGGTGCAGAGAGAGGGGGAGGCAGAGAGAGGGGGAGGCAGAGAGAGGGGGAGGCAGAGAGAGGGGAGGCAGAGAGAGGGGGAGGCAGAGAGAGGGGTAGAGAGTGAGGCCAAGAGAGACAGAGAGGTACAGAAAGAGTGGGAGAGGGGAGCTGAGAGATAGACAGAGGGGGCTGAGGGGGGGGGGGACCAAGAGAGAACATGGCTTAGAGAGAGGGGACTGGTGGGTAGCCTAGAGGGAGGGAGGAGGGAGGGAGGAGGGAGGGAGGGAGAGAGAGACAGAGACAGAGACAGAGACAGAGAGACTGGTCAAGACAGAAAGAGCGGCCAAGAGAGGGGCCAAGAGAGTGAGAAGGGGACCCAGAGAGAGAGGGGCTGAGAGAGGGTGGGCAAGAGGGAGACCCGAGAGAGATGGGGGGCAAAGAGAGAGAGAGAGAGAGAGAGAGAGAGAGAGAGAGAGGACGAGAGAGGAGGGCCTGAGAGAAAGAGACCAAGCACAGAGAAGGAAAGAGAAAAACAGGCCCAGAGAGAGGGAGGGGCCGAGCTAGAGAGAGGGGGCTGAGAGGGACAGGGGCTGAGAAAAGAGGGACTAAGGCAGAGAGAGGGGGCAGAGGCAGAGAGAGGAAGAGAGACAGATGCAGCAAGAGGCAGGGGCCTAGAAAGAGAGGGAGGAGAGAGAGATGGGGACTGAGAGAGAGGGTGGACCAGGAAAGAGAGGGGCCAAGTGAGAGAAGGGAGAAAGGAGGCAGAGGGGGGTGCTGAGAAAGAGCGGGGGCCTGGGGGAGGGGTGAGAGGGAGAAAGGGGTTCAGAGAGAGGTCAAGAGAGGGGGCAGAGGTTGATGGAGGGGGCAGAGGTCAGGAGAAGGGGGCAGAGGTCAATGGAGGGGGCAGAGAATGAGAGAGGGATGCAGAGGATGGGAGGCAGGCGGAGGTAGAGAGGGGGAAGACAGAGAGGGGGCAGAGGTAGAGAGTGGAGGACAGAGGTTCACAGAGGAGGGCAAAGGTAGGGAGAGGGTGGCACAGGTAAAGAGACTGTGGCAGAACTTGAGAGAGGGTGGCAAATGTAGAGAGGGGGCAGAGGTAGAGAGGGGGCAGAGGTAGAGAGAGGGAAGAGGTAGAGAGGGGGCAGAGGTAGAGAGGGGCAGAGGTAGAGAGGGGCAGAGGTAGAGAGAGGGGGCAGAGGTAGAGAGGGGGCAGAGGTAGAGAGGGGCAGAGGTAAAGAGAGGGGGCAGAGGTAGAGAGAGGGGGCAGAGGTAGAGGGGGGCAGAGGTAGAGGGGGGCAGAGGTAGAGGGGGGGAAGAGGTAGAGAGCGGGGCAGAGGTAGAGAGAGGGGCAGAGTTAGGGAGAGGGGCAGAGGTAGAGAGAGGGGGCAGAGGTAGAGAGGGGGCAGAGGTAGAGAGAGGGGGGCAGAGGTAGAGAGGGGGCAGAGGTAGAGAGGGGGCAGAGGTAGAGAGAGGGGGGCAGAGGTAGAGGGGGGGAAGAGGTAGAGAGCGGGGCAGAGGTAGAGAGAGGGGCAGAGTTAGGGAGAGGGGCAGAGGTAGAGAGAGGGGGCAGAGGTAGAGAGGGGGCAGAGGTAGAGAGAGGGGGGCAGAGGTAGAGAGGGGGCAGAGGTAGAGAGGTGGCAGAGGTAGAGAGAGGGGGGCAGAGGTAGAGAGAGGGGGCAGAGGTAGAGAGGGGGCAGAGGTAGAGGGGGGCAGAGGTAGAGAGGGGGCAGAGGTAGAAAGAGGGGCAGAGGTAGAGAGGGGGCAGAATTAGAGGGGCAGAGGTAGAGAGGGGGCAGAGGTAGAGAAGGGGCAGAGGTAGAGAGAGGGCAGAGGTAGAGAGAGGGGGCAGAGGTAGAGAGAGGGGGCAGAATTAGAGAAAGAGCAGAGGTAGAGAGGGGGCAGAGGTAGAGAGGGGGCAGAGGTAGAGAGGGGCAGAGGTAGAGAAGGGGCAGAGGTAGAGAGAGGGGGCAGAGGTAGAGAGAGGGGGCAGAGGTAGAGAAAGGGGGCAGAGGTAGAGTGAAAGGGGGCAGAGGTAGAGAGGAGGCAGAGGTAGAGAGGGGGCAGAGGTAGAGAGGGGGCAGAGGTAGAGAGAGGGGGCAGAATTAGAGAGAGGGGCAGAGGTAGAGAGGGGGCAGAGGTAGAGAGAGGGCAGAGGTAGAGAGGGAGCAGAGATAGAGAGGGAGGCAGAGGTAGAGAGGGGGGCAGAGGTAGAGAGGGGGCAGAGGTAGAGAGGGGGCAGAGGTAGAGAGAGGGGGCAGAGGTAGAGAGGGTGCAGAGGTAGAGAGAGAGGGGGCAGAGGTAGAGAGAGAGGGGGCAGAGGTAGAGAGAGGGGGCAGAGGTAGAGAGAGGGGGCAGAGATAGAAAGAGGGGGGCAGAGGTGGAGAGGGGGCAGAGGTGGAGAGGGGGGCAGAGGTAGAGAGTGAGGGGCAGAGGTAGAGAGGGTGCAGAGGTAGAGAGAGGGGGCAGAGGTAGAGAGGGGGCAGAGGTAGAGAGGGGGGCAGAGGTAGAGAGGGGTGCAGAGGTAGAGAGGGGGCAGAGGTAGAGAGGGGGGCAGAGGTAGAGAGGGGGCAGAGGTAGAGAGGGGGGCAGAGGTAGAGAGGGGTGCAGAGGTGGGGGGGCAGAGGTAGAGAGTGAGGGGCAGAGGTAGAGAGGGGGCAGAGGTAGAGAGAGGGGGGCAGAGGTAGAGAGAGGGGGGCTGAGGTAGAGAGGGGGCAGAGGTAGAGAGAGGGTGCAGAGGTAGAGAGGGTGCAGAGGTAGAGAGGGGGGCAGAGGTAGAGAGGGGGCAGAGGTAGAGAGAGGGGGCAGAGGTAGAGAGAGGGGGGGCTGAGGTAGAGAGGGGGCAGAGGTAGAGAGAGGGGGCAGATGTAGAGAGTGAGGTGCAGAGGTAGTGAGGGGGGCAGAGGTAGAGAGAATGGCCAGAATTAGAGGGGGCAGAATTAGAGAGGGGGGCATATGTTGAGAGGGGGCAGAGGTAGAGAGAGGGGGCAGAGGTAGAGAGGGGGCAGAGGTTGAGAGGGGGGCAGAGGTAGAGAGGGGGCAGAGGTAGAGAGGGGGGCAGAGGTAGAGAGGGGGCAGAGGTA